TCGATGGATTCCGATTCAGTTACTGACGAAATGTCGTCTAGCTCGTCATGTAGTAGTGATGATGAGTATTTAGAAGAATTGAGCGAGTTTACAATTACGACTTACATGTATGAGCCACAGAGAGATGTAAACAACGCAGAAGACGCTACAAGCGAAGACGAAGAACAGGAACAGAAAGTATAAATGAAGAAAGTCGCCTTAACAATTTATAGTGGTATGTACAAAATCTGGAGTATAAAGAAGCTCTATTTGTTATGTGTTTTTTTTAAATGTAAAACTGCATTCATGTCATTATTTACGAGTCCGTTCATTCTTCACTTTACRGCATACTTAGCTTCTTGATGTTTAATATCTGAACTTTATCGTAGCCGTCAGTGGTCGAACTATTTGATCTTGTAACTCATTTACGAGGAAAACGTCTGAAGCTAAATAACCAAATAATGCTCTCAACCTTGGGTTTTATAAATGCATGTTTGAAAAGACAAGTCGATCGCAAAAAAATACGTGAGAGTGGTTTTCATCACTCTAACAAATGTGAACCGATTAAAAACACTGTTTTACAATAGTGTTATTTATCTCTAGAGTCATAGATTTTTAGTGTGTATATATATACTTTAAGAAGCTGTTTATTGAAAGAARTTTTMATTTGCTTAGGTGCCAGTGTGGAGATATCTGTACTGTTATGGATACCGAAACAGAGTGTATTTGCTGCCAAGAAATTAATGCTACCTTGACAACTTGTAAAAGTTTACCAAATGAAGGAGAGCCATACGCCAATCAGCCTGCCCCAATGTGCATTACACAACATCCTGGTTTTGCATCTGTATGCCTGAATAAATGGGTGCTGAAAACTGCTTGGTTGCAATATAAGCAACAATATCAAGATGCATACGTAGGACCTGAACATAAACAGTATAGACATATTGCCTACCGACAACTGYCAAGGTGGRGTTGGGGCTTTTTGGGAAAGGATGTACGAGTTGTATTMCCATCTTGTGCTGTAATGTGTATACGGGCACACTTTCCACCCKCTGGACCTGAAGAAGACTTTGYGTTTGAAGGGTTTCACCTTTGAAAATGTATTCAATGGATTTTTACTGACCACTACTATATCTCCATTCTGTTTGAATCATACAACTTGAATACTGAATATTGCTTTTACATATAAGAAGTGCAAATAAGTTTTATTGTAATTTTAGAGCAYACCAATTTTTGATCATTAACAAGGTAAATTAAGTTACAGTTGATTTTACATAKAATTACGTTCTAAATTATTTYTTGTAAGTCAGAATTGAAATTGATATTTGCATATCTTCAAATACCCATAAATAAAATTGTATTGGTTTCAACAATTGCTATATTATATACATGTACAAGCAAAACAGCAAGTACTTAAAMCCTGATTTTCACAAGGTCATAAGCATAATGGTAAAAGCATGTAAAATCTTCTTTGCTTAATATACATGTAGCATTTATATTGAAAACCAGGCTAAGAATGTAAATTGTGTTTTTCAACTTCAAGAATCATTACAATGCAGCCATATAGCTGTACTAATTATATCTTTAATATTAAATTTGTGTATATTCACCAGAGCTTTCACTYATTAATGTTTTGCTTAAGTCACATTACTGTCGTGACAAAATTTAGTGTGATAGCAATTATCCTTAAGATGAGAAGCACCTTAACTTTGAGTATGTTATAAATATTTACAAACAAACAAATACWTTTTACTTAACAAATGTTAAAACCTCTTTCACATGTTGTTTTCTTTARTATAAAGTGAGGTTTTRCCATTTATTTTAGTAAACTTCTGATAAAACTATATTACATRACCACTCTTAGCATCATTCAACCCAACAATACTGTTTATGATTGATAATYTAACAAGATGAACTGGATTGTTTTGAATTTAGTTACTAAATTTCATAGGAGATGGCCATTTTAAAATGGTTGTACCATCAGAGGTACAAAGCAACAAATAGCTCCATTCGCTTTTTATGAAAAGACTGTTACATAAATGTGTCATTGTTTCTAAAGGTTACAACTATTTTGGAAAAATCTGAAGCAGCTATAAAATTTACCTACTGAATCTTGAGCGATGCCTACGTATCAACTCCTGCTTGTCAGGGGCAGGTTCACTAGCAATGTTCTTTGGGAGTTCAACATCTGGTTCAAGGGGTGCAGTCTTGCCATCTTGGCAGTTCTTTAGAACATCTCTTTGCAATTCAGGTAAAAAAGCATAGGTCTTGGCTTGCAAGATGGGCTTTGCTACCCAATTCTTGTGTGCTTTGGGAAACATTTACGAAACCTGGCCTCTCCAGCTTTGGCACCTGTCTTGATCACAGCCTGCCCTCTTCCAGCATTCTCATTATTGTCTATGACTGCAAGTGAGTTCTTGCAATCATTTCTTTGTAAGAAAAATGCTCTCTCTT